TGTGCGTTTTCATAATCGCTGTTTAATTGGGAAATTTTGAAAAAAAATAAAAATTGTGCATAAGTTAACGAGTAATCTTCTAAGTATTATACCATTTTGGAATCGTTATTAAATGCGCCAACTTTAAAGGTTACTTGCCAAACTCTCGTAGTACATTTTTTTCCAGTACAGCCATTTAAAGTTGAGCAACGTTTTACTTTGGAATACTTGGTTGGGAAATAAGTGGCAATTTTTCCTGAACGAGAAAAGTTGGCAGTAAGGTTGAGACACCAGTTTGAAGATTCATTATTCATCATTACATTGTAAAAATAAAATCCAAAAAAGTTAATATTTGTAGTAACAGGAGTTGGCAGACTGCCGTAGGGTGTGAAATTTCTATATCTTTTTCAAAGACCTACAATTTTCAAAACACATACATAAAATTTTTTAAATATTTTTCTGATAGCTGTTATGACTGCTTATCACCCGGTTTCGGCTCGACGTCGACTTCTGGGACACCCTGTATAAGGAATCGACATCTCGAGATCCATACTTCCAGTTACATTCAATGAGCTTCATCTTGATTTTAAAAATACGAAATGTTTGAATATGTTTAGAAGAAAAAGACGAACCTTGGTTTTTTGCGTAAAAATAACATTCATCTTTCGGAATGGTTTGTGATTCATATCGGCAAGGTGTATTTTGCTATTAAATTCTCTTTGAACGAACCTGGTATATTACTCAATAAAGTAGTAGTGATGGCCGAAAAACTGGTGTTTTAGGATAAACAATTAGAAATTTTCAAAAAACTACTACACCAATATACTCCAATTTTGTTGTTATTTAGAAGTATGAATCCTACGGATTTGAAGAATTTCAAGTAGTTGCGAGAAATTATCGTCGCATTACCAACAAGTGCCAAAACCTGCATTTTGCCTCGTTTTTCGGCCATAACATTTTAGCTATTAGTCGGATCTTCTTACATGTAGTTTCATTTTGTAGGTCTCATAAATACCTAAAAATCTTATATGAAAAGTTTTTTCGTTCCTGTCAACACTTTCGATTGAATCTCAAAAAGATGTTTTCACGTTCTTTGTTGTCAAATAAAAAGTTTTCCCACAAATATTGGTCATTTTACGCGTCCATGTTTTAAATACCCCGTTAAACAACTTGCACTAATAAAACCAAACTTTACAATTATTTCAGGGAAATTTGCAAATATTACACTAAATAGGTTAAACTATACATTACGCTTTTCACGTTGATTACTGGGCCGAGCTGGCCCATTTTTTCGTAATTCAATATTTCAGTTATCTGAAAGCTGTTAGTTATAAGAGGATATTTTACCTCAACAGAAGAAGAAGGAAATATATTCTAAGCCGCTCACTTGAATCAGGCATTCTGTTATAATTGTCTTTTGTAAATTTTTCTGATATTCCTTTAGAGATAAAATACGTTCGAATCTTTAAGGCCGACTCTGAATAAAAAATTCAAATTTACCTCCGATCAAAAACGCTATACCAAGTTTCTGTATTTTACGGAGTAAAACATGCTATCCATCTTGGGTTTAAGAATTGTGAGTGCACAACATCTGACACAATTTGACTGCCTCCATTCCCTCAATGTCTGGGAATTTAAAGCTGTTAAGACACTTTCTACTGTCTTTGAATTCCAAGTTATTGTAGCCTTGGTTTTTTTCAATTATCAGACTCTCTCATGAGATTTACAAAATAACACACTGGCATCACACCTCACTTGTGTGGTAAAATACATTATGCCAAACGACAGTATTGCATCAAAAAGGTACTCACCGGCTGATTTGGTAGTTCGCTCATATCCAACAAAACCGGTTCTGCACTGTACCCAAGAAACACTTTTGATTTCACTAATAAGTACCATTAGTACCACGCACCTAAACTAACCTACAACGCGCCGTGTGTCGACAGATAAGTGAAATTGCATTGATCAAAATCGATTCAAGACATGCTACACATTAGTAGGCGTAAAATCTGGTAAAAGTAACTGACCGGGACTTGCGGTAAAATACGCACGCAAAATTTGAACGTAGAAAAAGTGGCGTCAGTAAGTTGACTGCACTTCTCACGCATCAGTTCGTTAAGGATTATGTACCAGTTAGACGCTCTAATGAAAAATTTAGTTAGGAACATGTATAATAGAGAAGTTCAACGGATGAAGTCAGTCAAACATTATCTTGAAAACGAGGCATTTTCGGACGGAATGGGCCATGGATTCGGTTTCAGCGACCAAAAAAGCGTATTATAAGATATGTTGCGTTCACGTTCCCGACTGACTGACCCATTTTGTGCCTTTTTGGTAAGAATACCGCCATACATGGTAATTATATGTTAAAATGCTTTAAATGCGATTCAATTGACCCGTATTCCTCGAATTTTGTGCTGCCAATATCGAATCCGAGGTCGTTTTACATGTATGTGATCCCGTTTATGATGTAGATCGAATTACTTAGCGAAAAATTGCAAAACTAGGCGTTTTTTGCGACTTTGAGGTGCTAAAAATCCATTTTTACTATCGATGTCTACATGAGAGTGGAGCTTTGCACAATGAGGTAATTTGGGGCGCTGAATATGAATATCACAGTTAAAAATTTCTTAAGTGTTATCAGACTGGATTTAGGGTAAAAAGTTGAGAAGAAACTATTTTTCCGGGGTAGCCGTAAATTCTAGCAATGTATCGACATCGAATTTGGAATCTACACACCCGATTTACCCAGAAAACAAGTTTCCATCTCGATCATAGACGCGCAAGGGTTTGTAGAAGTTTTTTATTAGTCGTTTTTTGACAAAGTTGAATTCTTACCAGTATCTTGAAAACGAGGCATGTTCGGAAGGAATGGGCCATGGATTCGGTTTAAGCGAACCAAAAAGCGTATTATAAGATACGTTGCGTTCACGTTCCCGACTGACCCATTTTGTGCCTTTTTGGTAAGAATACCACTATACATGGTAATTATATGTTAAAATGCATTAAATGCGGTTCAAATGACCCTTATTCCACGTATTTTGGGCTGCCAATATTGAATCCGAGGTCGTTTTACATGTATGTGATCCCGTTTATGATGTAGATATAATTACTTTGCGAAACATTGTAAAACTCGGCGTTTTTGCGACTTTAAGGTGCTAAAAATCCATTTTTACCATATAATTAGTTCATAGACATTCTTTCTCCACCTTACTTTTAGTAATGTCCATCTGGCAACGTCGCATCTCCCCCATACCTTACCGCACGACGCGACAGTAATGCCAAGACACTTATCAAGACCGGAACACGCGCCGCGCTGGTGAACCCATATAGCAGTATCGAAAACATTTCTCACACCACACATTTTAGAATGTTTATACGCTACCAGCCTCAGAAATTATACGCAGCTATTAGACATATCTCAAACATCATAGTATATTTGCCCTTAAAACATTTTAAAACTTTTTTCTTCCCTGGAATGATTTTGGCTGGATTTCATGTATTCTGGCCTGCTGAATCAGGATTTGGCCTCAGATTTTCAATATCTGTCTCCAATGATGAGGGAGGGACATATGCTTTGATATTGAGAAAAATTCGATAAAAACCCCCTTTAATGCCGATTTATTAAATTTAAACAATTAAATAAAAACTAATTATATATTTTATTAACAGTTAGTTTTGGTACAGTATAAACATTTTTTAGTAATTTTCGATGACTTTAATATTTATTTCTTTAACATCTTTCTGTGTGAGTAGATTGCCTTTTTCTGCAGATGGACACCTTAACTCATTTTTCCAAGAGGTTCCACTGTTGCAGGCGGGATCAGCGAACTTCCGTGTTTGTTTTCGGGTCACGAACAAGGTCATTCAATACACCGTCCGTGATTAAATGAGGTGCGTCAGGCAAATCATGAGAATTGGGGATGTAGCTTGGTCCAGCTTCTGGTGAAGTACTCACTCAGGTGGTTGGGGAATTGGTAATGAGTTGTCATGAGGCACTGAATGCTACGCTTGGTTTTGCTAGTAATTCTCAAAACAGTGGAACTGCTAATGACATATATTTATTAGTACATGTCAGCCATTCCGTTAATGTTCTCCAACACGAACTGCAACACATTTTTGGGGCCCAGGACTTGACTTGATCGCCAACTTTGCATACAAAGCCTTTTTTTACCAGTGAAGCCTATCGGATTTTGGTACGATTTCGCGGTAACTTCACTGCAAGTATAACAGAATTATTAACGCAAATTAGCGTAGACATTTTTGTTACTGTTTTAAACAGGCACGTATGTAGATCTAAGCGGAAATATGTTTAATACAGTAACGACTAAAGGGATATTTCAAGCATAGATCCAACTACTCGATCCACCCAAGAAATCTCAGGCTAATATAAACATTTGATGGTCCAAATGTTACATAAAAAGCGATATTTTTATAGTGAGTATTTTTGTATTTACGAGGAAAGCATGAATGGCAGAACTTCAAACGTGTCAAACTAATAAAATCCTGCATGCGTAAACAAAACCTTATTTCTTTCTATGATGCAACTAAAAATACGACATAACGAAACATCAATTCCAAACTGTTTACAAATAGGTGATGCAGCAGGAATTTATTTTTATTTATTTCGAGTCATCACTAGGCCCTCGAAAGCTGGATCAGCGTAGAGTCGGGAGGATAATGGAAATGTGAATTGCTAGACATCACTATCTGAAATGGAGAGGCGTCTCCAGATATCTCAGTCAGGCACGGGAGCTTGCCTTAGGGCCCAGTGTTTAGGGTGGACGTTTTTGCTTATCTTTGGATACAGCCAACTTAAGGTTATTGGTGGACTGCTGTCTGGCCATAACACTATGCAAATACGGGTGTTTGAATTAAAAATCTGTACAAAAGTCGATTTTGTAGAATAGCTGGTATCGCAAAACTAGTATGTGCCTAAGATGCCGGAACAGATGCTAGAAAAACCACCACACTTTTTTGTTTCCCCACGGCTATGCTTGCCAGTAGTCTCGGTGCGAATTTGATCATTCTTCATTGCTCACGTACCTGTCCTCAGCGTATTTATTGTGACGACAATATTCCAAAGTTTTTACAAGTTATTACGAATCGTGTACCACTTTTTCAACATGGACGTTTTTAAGGCAGGTATGTACAACATATTTTGTCAATTTTAATTGTAATATTAGTCGATTTATCAGAAAAAATGACGTTTTTGCGAAATCTATGTTACAATCGTTTTTACCTTTGAAATTAATTAAACTCGAATGGCTTTGATGAATTTCTGGTTGTATCCCGGTTATGATTTTGGTCTCGTATTATATAATTAGATCTTGGCTAATCATATCGACTGAAAATGTTTCCAACTTCATCCAAATTTCAGTCAAATCTTCAAATAACTGGTGATTTTTTAAGAGGTGTAGGATTTGATTTAAAAAAAAAACACAAAAAATTGAAAAAAACGATTAAATCTTTATTTGAGTCGATAGAACGGACGATATAATTTAATGTTAAAAGATTATTTCATGTAAATGTTGGCCACGGCTCCGCTTTACATGGCCCATGCGCAAGGTCCAATTTTGGCACACTCTCTCCAACATATCGGCCGGTATCTCACGAATAAATGCTTCAATATTGGCTTCCAGTGCGTCAATCGTTGCTGGTTTATCCCTGTAGACATTAGCCTTAACATGGCCCCACAAGAAATAGTCCAACGGCGTTAAATCACACGATCTAGGCGGCCAATTGACGGGCCCCAAACGCGAGATAAACTGTTCACCGAACTCGCCTCTCAATAGGGCCATTGTTTCGTGTGCGGTGTGGCATGTGGCACCGTCTTGTTGAAACCACATGTCAGCCAAGTCCAGCTCTTCCATTTTGGGCAAACAAATGTTTGTTATCATCGCACGGTAGCGCTCGCCATTCACAGTTACGTTCCGGCCATTGTCGTCTTTGAAGATGTACGGTCCATAATCGACACCAAACAGTGATTTTTTCGGGATGCATTGGTAGCTCTTGCAATGCTTCTGGCTGGTCTTCACTCCAGATGCGGCAATTTTGCTTGTTAACGTACCCATTCAACCAGAAATGAGCTTCGTCGCTGAACACAATTTTTCGATAAAAATGTGGATCTTCTTCCAACTTTGCCAGCGCCCATTCACCAAATGGGAAACGTTGTGGGAGGTCGTGTGGCTTCAATTCTTGCACCAGCTGTATTTTATAAGGTTTTACACCCAAATCCTGTCGCAAAATTTTCCACATAGTGGAGTAACAGAGGCCCAATTGCTGCGAACGGCGGCGAATCGACATTTCACGGTCATCACTAAAACTGGCGGATACAGCCGCAATATTTTCTTCAGTCCTCACTCTACGTCTGCGTGTTGGTGGTTTAATGTCCAATAATGTGACCTGGGTTCGAAATTTAGTCACAAGCTTCCAAATAGCTCCCTCGGTAGGCCGACCAAATTGCCCATAAATTGGAAGCAGTGCTCGATGCACTCTCTTAACCGAGCATGAATTTTTGATAGTAAAATTCAATAATTTACAAGCGTTGTTCGTTCGTAAGTCGATTCATGGTTAAACTATAGACCAAACTGAACAAGTTTGACAATGACACAAGACCCGATTCACGCGTCATCTGTCAAAAACAGTGTTGCCAAAAAGATACTAGCACAACACAACAATCACCCATTAAAAGGCGAACGTTCGTTTAAGCCATTTCTTTTCTTTCTTTATAGGGCCCCCTGGAGTCACGATCATTACTCGAAAACAATTTTACGACATTATGCAAGGGTATACCAATAACGACATTAACAAAAATTGGACTATGCTGAATCTTTTTTTTTTGAATTCTCAAAATTATTCAGAAGAACAACGAAAAACGAAAAGAAGTTATACATAAATTGTCAAATCTAAAATCAGAAATAAAACGTAGATAGATTGCCGTACATAACATAGAAGATCTTTTCCTTAAAAGAAATAATCGTTGGCTCCAAATGACATCTGAAATACCACAAACAAAATGACGACCAGGGCGCCCACAGAAATCTTTTAGTAATATTAGCAAGCGAAGTAAAAAAAAACAGAAGCATTCCGTGGTGAAATAAGCTCTGTAGAGTTGACTTTTGCGACTCATACGAAGTTACGTTCTGAGGGCAAGACTGATACTCAAAGGTGATAAAAGGCCTAGTGCAATCTCCAAAAAAATATCGAGAAGCGTTTATTCAATCTCAAAATGATGGAATGCAGCTATCAACCATATTAACCCGAATGGAAGCATTGTCTATGTTTGTCGAAGCTGGCCTGACAAGAAGACACTATGATACAATAAGAAGTTTTAGCAAGAAACTATACCCATGCTATACGATGTTACAAAAGGCTAAAAAAAGACCGTTATCCTGTACAAGAATCTTATAAAATCACTGCTACTTGCGCTGTACTTCCGGTTCCTTGTGAGGGCCGGTATGCCTCAAATCTCTTTTTATTATCTGTTCATTCATTCATCACCGTTCGGCCGACAAGCGGCAGCCAAGCAGCCGGATTGGCGTGGACTAAATTGTGAATCGTCGATTTTTTCGTCATCGCGTGATATCAGTTGTTACTGTTTGTTAACAATCAACTAGAGTTAGGTTTATAATAAATAGGGACGATAGAAAGACGAAAAAAAATCGAGTGTTTTATGTTTAAAATGTGCATCTGTGTATCTATTTGTGGCATCTTATCTCTCCAACGGATGAACCAATTTGAGTTTAAAGTCACAGAAATATTTTCAATAAATGTTTTAAGGTGATCGAATTCCAAAAATTTAATTTAGAACTGGAATTGATATGGACGGTCAGGAATACAAAACTTCAAATTTATTGCCGTAACACAAGCTCCTATAAGTGACAATTATTACTACTGTTTAGTTGGATTTGCTATTAAATATTTTTTTTTTATTTTTTAAGGTACTTATACAATTTTCAGAATGTTTAGTGTCAAATCGACAACAAAAGTACCTATAATCAAGAGCTTCGATTTGTATTATATTTTATATTTGACGATAAATATAAATTTACATATTTTTCAAATCTCAAAATTCATTTTTTTCAATATTATCAGTCTTCTTATTATTTTCTCAAATTTCCGAATTTTCCAATTGTTTTCCATATTTTCAAATCCAATCTTTTCACAAATTTCAAAATTCATTTTTTCAAAAGCTTTTCAAATTTTGATTTTACTTCAAGATTATTGTATTGTCGTCAGCCCTTGACCTCTGTGCAAATGTTCGAGTTAATCAGACTTATTGAAGTTGGCGAACATTAGGTAGAAAGATTTTGTTACCTGTCAAGCTGACAAAAGCGTGTTTAAAAGTGAGACATTTTTCTTCATGATTTTCAACCCCCGATGCGGCTGAACCGATTTGAGTGCAGTTTTTTCTATAATGGGGCAGGTTTCTGCTATACTAATAAAAAGTAGACGTGATTCAATTAAAGGTCGGTTTTTTAACCCGTCCATAATTCTAATAACTGACTATACGATTTTTCATGCAGCAACACTCAAAAACCATTATTGTGCAATAGTCAGCTTTTTAGGACAGTACCTACTGGCTTTTATGAGCGATAGTAGTAAGTTAAACCTTGATTTATGGTGATCATTGAAATAAAACTTTACTTTGCCTTGTTTCTCGTTACATTTACGTCCAGACGCCTTGTAAGGTAAAAGAAAACTATTGCAACAACGATGCTTTCCCTCTCTAATCATTGCATTTTCACTTTCACAGAGTTCAGCAATAATAAATATTTGTTGGTATTGTTGTACGCTGCCATTCATTCAAGTCCAAATATACATAACATATACATGTATGTTATATAATGACGTAGTAAATTTGTTTGTTTACCATGAAGCTGTGGTGATAACTGTTTGAAATATTAACGTTCAGGTTATTAGATCGTTATTCAGGATTGTTAGTCAGGGAGACATAGATAGACTCATTGATATTCCTATAGCTCAATACTCTGGTGCTGTTGAAAAATTTCCACCACCTCTAACCTGTCAGATATAAAGAATTTGAGTCATGACAATGTTAAAATCAGTCACAACCACGGCCAGTGAGCCAACAAGATTCAATTTTTCCACAAGAGAGACTAGCCTCGTTTATATAATCTGTGCTAGTGAGGATCTTAACTCTATTGATTCTAAATCATTGACGGTTCCTCAAAATCTCTCAGATCATAATTTAATTTTCTCAGCCTTTCGAAAGTCAAAAATAAATAAATCACAAAAGACTATTAAATATAGAGACTACAATAGTACAGATAGAGATTCTTTCTTAAATGAAGGGTTTCTACTTGGGTGGGAGGATATTTACTATATAAACCAAATCGACCAATAAATAGTAAAAATGTAGTAACTGTTCTGAATAAACATGCTCCTATAAAAACACAACAAATAACTCTATGTACCCTGGATAACTCAAAATAAAAGAATTTTAATCAGACTAAGAGATAAAGCTCATGACAAATTTCAAAAATCCAAATCACAGCCTCATTTTGAATATCATAAACAACTAAGGAACTATACAAAGCATGCAATTATCCGAGAAAAAATACATTCTTTAACTTACTCTCAACAAAGAAACGTGAGGAATTTTGGGACACTACCAAATAGCTCAACATAACATGCAATAAAACTCACTCAACTATACCCGAACACTTACAAAATGTAAATGACATACACAATTACTTCCAACAGACCGACACTGCTTCCCAAGAATTAATCAATTTTTACAAAAACAATGTAAACATTAACGATTCTCTTAGCTTCCAACTGTTAGACAGAGACAGCCTAATCAAAATTGTAACTAATATCTCACCAAATGCCATTGGAGAGGATGGTTTCTCTATGGGAGACCTAAAGTTATGTATCCCATTTTGTACGAATGCCTTGCTGAATATAATCAACACATGTATTTTGGGGGGATTATTTCCGGAAATGTGGAAGAAAGCTATTGTTAAACCTTTACCAAAAATAGCAGAACCTATAGAATTTACAGACTTGGGGCCTGTTAGCATATTACCCGTTACATCCAAAATATTAGAAAGGCTTATTTATAATCAAATTAGATTTTTTTGTGACACAAACGATATCATACCCGATAGTCAATCCAGTTTTAGGAAAAACTTTAGCACAAGTACATCATTAGTTAATATCCTGGATGATATCAGACATCATCAAGAACAAAAAAATAGTACATGCATGGTTCTTCTCGATTTTAGTTAAGCGTTCCTCACTCTGAATCATGAAATGTTACAGTTATATGTACATTACCAGGGGTTTTTGCAGAGCTCCGTAAATCTAATAAAAACATACTTAAGCAACCGTTCAAACTGTGTTATGTTAGCAAACGATTCCGCTACTTACAAAGCCGATTTTAAACCTATAAAAAGAGGAGTTCCTCAAGGTTCAATTTTATCTCCTTTGCTATCTTCAATCTACATATCTGACATGGTCAAATCGGTAAAATTCGCAAAGATAAAACAATATGCAGATGACTCACAAATATATCCCCCTTTCAATAAAACCACAATCCACAACAACAACTAAATTCAGATCTCCAACGTATTGTCAGATTTGCAAAGCATCACAATCTTAAACTAAACCCCTCAAAATCGCAAGTAATGGTTATGAATAAAAACAGTAATGAAAGAGAACACTGAACAAAATTTAGTAATGTCAATTAACAAGGACAGAATCCCCATGGTTCAGGAGACAAAAAATCTAGACATTATATTTGATAGCTCGCTTGGCTTCGGAAGTCATATAAAAAACAGAACAAATTTAGCTTACATGCGACTAAGAAATATAAACAAATTAATAAAACATTTATCAGCCAAACAAAAATATTATTTGTGTAATACCTTAATTTTATCACTTTTTGACTATGGAGATGTCGTCTATGGTGATGCGCTATCGTCGCGAACCAAAAAACGCATACAAAAAGTTCAAAATAGTTGCATGAGATTTGCATTTGGAATTCCATATCGAAACCATATCACTCCTTGTCTGAATAACTACAACATATTAAACATGACGAATCGCAGAAAATATCACATGTATTCTTTTATCCATAGGGTTACAAAAACAGGTCAACCGCCCTATCTAAGAGAAAGATTTGTGCATTAGCCTCGTGCCCAGAGGAGCAGAAATAATCTCAATTTTATCCTACCTAGGCATAGAACGCGTTCCTTCCGACGATCGTTTGCTTATGTGGCGGTTCACTTATGGAATAATTTACGAACTTCAGTTTAAAGCTCATCGTCAAAAACATTCTCAAAACTGACAAAAACGTTGTTACAGAATCACCAGCTACTTTAGCAGTGTGAGCAAAAATATCGTTTTTACATTCCTACTCGCTGACAAGTTGTTATAGATTTGTTCTTCGCGTCCGTTGCCAGCTCCCGAGGGTTCTTTCTTCATGTTTGCCTTTTTGTGTTTCGCTGCCTTTTCATTTGCCTCCTTATGGTTTTTTTTTTTAATTGGGTTTACGGACTTTTAGGGTGTTCAGGGCTTTCTCGCATGGGCTCTTTGTATTAAAGGGTCCAAGGTATCGGTTTATAAACGAGAGACTGCCCTTTTTCGTCATTGCTCTATATTGTAGAATTTCCTTTGTATATGATGTTTATTCATGACGAAATAAATACTTTGAATTTGAATTTTAATATACATGTAGGGGTCCTGTTATTAGTGAATATGGTTTTTTTATTTGATTTAACAGCTCATGACATTTACAATGTGCAGATATGACTCGTACTGAAGGTTTGCAAGTCTGAAATGGATTTAAACTCATTATTAATGAAAAAGCTATAGATATTAAGGCGGGGTTCGAAGTGTATTAAGTTTAGGAAATTTCAAACGGCCAATTCGATTTTGACTCGTTTAATCCCACGCGTAGGGTCCTAAAAGCTAAGCAGGTAGCT